AACTGATGGACAATTATATTTGTTGTAGAATATTTCTAATCGCTATTTTTTAACGGACCCACGACGCCTTGGGAAATGAACTCCCCGACTTTCTTCCGAATTTTAAATTGTATGAAATATTAAATTTGAGCAGTAGAAGCGAAAGAGCTGTAGGAGTAATAAATCGTATCCTCGGTGGACAATGAGCATATTCAAGGGTCATTTGCTTGACACGGTTTACTAGAATTAATTTCCTCTGTACGAGGAAGAGCTCGATCACGCAACTGGCACGGTGGTCGTCGACGGTGTAGGCGCGTTTATATGGACCTTATTATATGCACGGGCGATGAAATCCCGGTTGAACGAGAGTAACACGCGATCGTCTCCCACGTGGAGGACGCGCGCGACGGTAACGGTAAGCGCGCGTTTCTCCGGATAGAGAAAAAAAGAGAGAGAGAGAGAGAGAGAGAGAGAGAGAGAGAAAGCTCGCGTCATAGCGTCCCTTCGGCGCGTTTCATATACATATTTGCCTTCTGTCCTTTACCTCCCTTTTGGCATGAAGAATTTTACCAAAGTCTAACAGAACAAGGATAATCACTTTATTTTCATCTCATCGTCAACATGTAAGATATATCTATATATTTTATTTATGTCACGGTAACGTGTATGCGTATACATCATATGTATGTACTTTCAATAGATAATAAATCATCTTTAAAATAACATCACGCAATGGTATGAATATGTTGCATAATATAGCCATAGTATAGTATATAGTATTGATGTAATATAATATAAGAAGTAGTAAAACGTCAGTTTAAGAGAATTAATTCAGGAGATTCCCTTCAGTTGACAAAGTGCTTGCAATGTTAAAAATTTTGCGATAAATTTGAGATACAAATTACAGCAAATTGGCATCAATTGCGTCAGTGTCAAGCTTACATTACACCGATAGAGATCGTAAACACGTGACGACAGATTGATAGCAGAAGTCATGCAGATTCTGCTATTTCGTAATCATTTTAATGGAATATTGATCTAGCTATCGTTATTTTTTACATTAATTTTTTTAATATTTAACCAAGTGCTGTAAATAGTTTCGTTATTACATTGTCATGTAACATTACATTGTCTCGCAAAGTTTTCATAAGATAATTGTTCAATTTTTTAAATAATTGCAGAACCTCTTCATTATTTTTATTACAAGAAGATTACATGATTGACGTGACCCAAAAGTCATTGAAATTACACTTTCAAACCTTGGTTTTTATCGGTACGGAAAGTCCACATGCTGAATGATACGAAGAATCGCACAGAATCAGAGCGGAAACGACAGTAAAAATCTTGCGCCATCAAACGAAAGTGTATGCCGCGAAAACAATTCTACCGTTTCGTCAATACTCTCGCTCGGTGTTCGTGACACAGATAGTCCGAAAAACTGGGAAATAGCAATATATTTTCCACAATTTCTCATTATAACCCTAATATTAAAACTTTAATAAATAATAATAATAATAATACTAAACTATAATTAATCATAATTGTAATATTAAATACATGAAATTCTAATTTTTTTCTATTCTTGAAAAAGAAATATAAAATAAAAATTGATATGTAATTGTTATTCTTTTTTTCGTGATGCTAATTGATCATCTCGATGCACGTCTTACGTTACTTTGTATCATAAATAATTGTGTTTTGATCAAACATTCGTTGAATGAGTTAATAGCGTAAGTTTATTAATAGAATTAATTAAATTAAGAATTAAAATTTATTAATTAAATATTCAATTAAATTTAAAAACATTATTATGAATTTGACATATATTTTAAAAATTAAATCTTGAAAAATTAAATTTTTTTAAATATAAAATTCTAAAGATTAAAGTTATATCTAAATTTTCGGAATTGAACAATTTCAAATAGCTTTATTATAAATTTTATAGGAATAATTATTGTCCCAAATAAAAATTTGTTCTATTTATAAAATTTTTAATTAAAATAAAAACAAAATATTTGAAACGCAATCAAAAATTTTAATTTTTATATTATTGTTATCAACATTGTATTTACAACGTTAAAATTATTCTTATTCTTATTGTTGTTTGCTTGTGCGCAAGCAATTTAATCTTAAATCGATATCTTTGACGTAAAAATAATCTCCAGTAAAATTTTGAATCCTCTATAAATGTCCGATCGACGATTTTATGGCGACACGTTGGAAAAGACGGCGCTAAAAGGTTTAAATCGAAAGCGGTGAAAGTGCAGACGTTTAATACAGATCCGTTAAACTTCAAGGTCGTAAGCGCGACCGAAAGAAACGCGATGAAAAAGGTCAAGGTTGTGTGGGAACGAAAGCGTATCCCAGTTCTCGAAGAGAATTTTCCAAATTGACCGCGTCGCATTCGAAAAGCCGTCTCAATCGAGCTCTTTTCGCATCGAGCACCTCTTTCCGGCTGGGTTTACTTCCTGAAGACGTGACTTCCTTCCGTGAGCAATGTTGAATTTTTGAGATGCCTACGGTATCGATAATCATTTTCGCTTCGCTTGCTTTCTTCGACCTATAGTCGACGAAACTATTAATTATATTTGTGCAGAAAATAATTAAGTCACTCACACATTTCAGGATGAGCGATTGAAACGTTAAATATTTAATACAAATAAAAATGCAATTATTGAATTAAATGTAATGTGTCTGCAGGATGAGAAAAAAAATCTTTTGATTTCCCCTGGGAATAAATATCAAGCATAGTAAATATTACATTCGCCGAATTTTGTTTAATTTGTTTTCTGTTTGCCCTGCACATTTCATAAATATTCGAAGAAATATCGCGTCTAAATAATAAGCATACATATGAAAAAAATACTGAACGTCTTTATTTACAATCGCTATTAAAATTACGCGCCGCCAGGAAAACGAGATAACCTCGGGACAGCGCGGCGAGACCAAGACGGCCACGGCGGTCGTAAAATTTACGTTCGCGCGAAAGAGAAACTTACAATATTGTCGGCGTAACGATCGGTGCTCGGGACCGCGCGCAGGAGGCGTCGGCCGACATTTCTTTTCACGTGATCACGAAAATAAATTTCTAGCAGTGACACGAGAGAGTTTGAAAACGCCTGGGAGGATTTCAGGGGGGGTTCAACTTCGGCGCGCTCCTCCGACAGGGTCCCCCCCGAAGTCACTTTCGAAAATAACTTCGTTTACGAGAAACGGCAGGATCGAATTCGGTCGCTTTATAAATAATCTCTCTCGCTTTGTTCGACGACGTGTGCATTGCCGACAGCCATGAATGAACGTAAACTCGCGAGCTGTTCCCTTCGTTCACTGCAGCGCCGTGCGTTGTCATTGCCGTTCACTTCGCTCGTCGACGGGTGCCCGATAAATTACGTTAATTAATCCCACGCGTGAAACGCGTAAAAAGGTGCACGTACAAAGATCTTAGCCGATCAAGAAACGAAACAATTTTCTAAAATGTTACTGAAAAAAACAATTATTTTTACAATAACCAACTACTTAATATATAAAATTACATTTCATTTTTATGTGCCATATATTCAGCTTTAATTTGTTGTAATAATAACTCAAGCAATTGTAAGAAAAATGTAAAAAAAAATTCTATAAATCAGTTGCCAAAATATTCAGTAAATATTATTAAAATTGTTTACTGTGCACTCAGCGCATATCTCGAAATCAACTTCCATATAATATTTATTGCGTTATTTTCGGTTGAATAGTTATTCGGGTCTGAGGTAAGAATTATATCAAATGCAGTCTGCGAATGAATGGATATAGCAAGTTGAAATTCGGATTCGTTATACCAATAAAGACTATTTATTTTCTGATCGAGGCAAACGAGATTGCATTCTAAAAAATGACGACGACATCGTTATACTTCTCGAACTTAAATCGAGCTGATCGAGGCAGTCTGTCGAACAGTTTTGAAACAACGCATTGCCGTCTCGCCAAACAGTTAAGCACTTCTGGATCCGCTTGGCCACTCGGTCGTTCGAGTCATCGATCATACTTAATTGCATCCATCGTCCACATCGCCGATATCACCCTGTCATGCGCTAATACATTATGCACGTCTATCGATCGAGATTTAAATAACGTGGCAGGAGAGAGAGAGAACGAGAGAGAGAGAGAGAGAGAGAGAGAGACAGAGAGATAATATTTAAAAAATATTCAAGAGTCATTTATCGATGGTGACTGTTCCAATTTAGAGAAGTGAAATTAATCGAGGCATTGCGAAAGAAGTGCAACGAAAAAGTCCCGTCAAAGATGACGTCACGATTGTGCTCCGATTTATGCAAGTTTCGGACTCGCAATAATTCGTGTTGAGAGCTCATTATCGCGCGGCGATTCTTTTGCCTCGTATCGCGTGACGCCTCAGTAGGAGCGCGATTATATAAGAGGATGCATTGTGTTTTCCCTCTGTCTCTGAAGAGGAAAAATCTGTGAGTTCTAACTAACTGATTGAAAATGTCGATAAGGTTGTTTTTCAATCATTACAGATCAATCATTACAGAAAAAAAAACACGGTGACTATTTTGTTCGAGTATTTATGAAAGTATTTCTTGCTTAATGTTTCATAAATGTTTTGTGGCGTTGTCTCAATAAAAAAAACACTATTAAATTTTCCTGTTACTTTAAGGTGGTTTTATCGAGCAAGTCCCAGTCAAAAGTTAGTCCCTCAATATGACTAATTAATTCAATAAAAACATTTCGCATAGACTGTATATACATACATATGCAATTGTGCGACGTTTATGTGATAACGTTACACTATCGAGTTGCCGTTGAGCGATAAAACCACCTTAATTAACAATTATTTTTCTCCATCGTTTTTCAATGTAAGCAATTAAATAATTGATGTAATTCTAAAAACCATTAAAATCATACCGTTTTGAAATTTTGATTTTAGTACAGAGAGTTCACGCCACATATCAAATGATATGAAAGATCGTACAGAATCAGAGCAGAAACGGTAGTGAAAAT